ATGCGCTTCAAGGTGCTGTTTATTACCTTTAAAGCCCTACATGGCCTTGGACCTGGGTATCTGCGAGACTGCCTCCTGCTACATACCTCCCAATGGCCGATAAGAACTCACAGGATGGGCCTCCTCCAGGTGCCGTTGACCGGACAATGCCAGCTGGTGGCCCCTCAGGGCAGAGCCTTTTCTGTAGTTGCTCCGGCCCTGTGGAACAATCTTCCCGCAGAGATCCGGACCCTTCCCACTCTCACGGCCTTCCAAAAAGCCACCCAAACCTGGCTGTTCCGGCAGGCCTGGGGCTGCTGACCCATGAATGAGGTCCAGCCCGCAGCTAAGTCGAGTGTATGGTGTGTTCCTTTTAAATTGTTCCCGTTTTTCCCCTATTTTAATTTTTGTTTTATCTCTTTATTTGTAAGCCGCCCGGAGTCCTACAGGATTGGGCGGCATATAAATTTATTAAATTATGAATTACGATTTTTTTTTTGTGGCAGCCCCTCAAATACTGGAATACTGCTATCATGTTACCCCTTGTCCTTTTCTCTAAATCAGTGATGGCGAACCTTTTCGAAACTGTGCCCAAACTGGAATGTATGTGCATGCACATATGCATGCCAGAAAACCAAAGACCAGCTGCCTGGTGCGCATGCTAGCCACCTGGTCTTTGGGTTTCCGGGATGAGCATGCACACTTGTCCAGTTGGTCTTCGGTTTTCTGGCACTTTCGTGCACGCTAAGACCATCTGGCCAGGGCACATGCACATACAGGAAATCAGAAGAACAGTTGGCGATGGCATGCGTGCCCAGAGAGAGAGCTCTACGTGCCACCTCTGGCACGCATGCCATAGGTTCGCCATCACGGCTCTAGACTAAGCATGCCCAATTCTTGCAACCAATTGTTTCATTTGTATGTTACTAAGCTGGAATACTGGTGAGAAGACAGCACCCACTTATCTAATGAAGTCCTAGTAGTAGCTGGGTTATCTTGGCTTGTTGTGCCCTTGCAGATAGCAATCACGTGTTCCATATACAAAATTTTATATTGCAACCTGCTGATGTAGAACAAATATTCCACTTTTTAATTTATTTTTATCCCATCTTTAACATTTTATAAATATCTCAAGGTGACAAATATACCTAATGCTCCTTCATCCTAATTTCCTCACAACAATGCTATGAGATGGGTTGGACTAGCCCAAGGTCTCCCAATTGGCTTTCATGCCTTGTACGGGACTAGAACTCACAGTCTCCTGGTTTCTAGCCTGATACCTTAACCACAGTAACAAACTTGCTCTGAGTTTTATTATTTATTTGTTAGATTTATGTCTTATTCATTTCTTACCTTTTGGGATCAATGATTTTAAAGAGTTTTCCATTATGTGATTGTGTCATGCTTTTACTGCTTGCTAAGATGTAAATCTCACCTGTCAATGAAGCACAATAAATAAATAAATATTGGTATTCACTAAAAATATCAGGCAACATAAGCATTATGATGAAAAGTACACTGTTATGGATATGTTTATGTAGAAGGAATTAAATAAATTGACCATTGCATCAATGTGTATCCTCATTTTTAAAACTGCAAATAGAAGCTGAGATAAAGTAACTTGATGAAGTAAGAGTGGAACATGTTCTGGGTCAGAAGGTTCTGTAGGGAAAAAGGGGTGAAGATAACAAAAATGATTAAGTGATCATTGTATAGTGCTGCAAACTGAGGCTCTTAGACTTATGTGTAGAAGTGCTGTCATGAAACTCCTTTAGTCATTTTGACAAAATAGTTGGATTCTGCAGTTCTTTAGTCAAATTTGTTCTTGCGTTTTTGAAATATTGTGGTGCATGCTGTTTGCATTTTCCTTAAAATATTTGGTAACCTGAATTATGAAGTATGCTTCATATTTCTTTACCATTTTTCCACAGATTATTTAATAATTTAAACAGGATATTTAGTGATCGGAGAGCCAAATGTATTCATAGGATTTTTTAGAAATAGAAAAAACAAATGTCAGCAGATATGTTGTAACATACTGTATTCTATTAGTATATTGCTGCCTTTTAGAGATACAATAATCAGTTTCTTTACAAGATTTAAGTAGATATTCAATATGCATCATATTTAGAAGAGTGAGAGAAGACCATCATAACATTCTTTGTATTTATACCATTTACAAAACCCTAAATCCAGATTAATAAAATGTAATTTCTGTGATTACATATTTTGGTTTAGTACAATGGTCTGTTTTATACTATATGTTAGTTCTCAAAACATTTTAGTCTAGAATCCCAGTTTTCAAGTACTTTTCAATCTCATGGTAGATCAAATTTTTAGTGGATTCTGTACTGAATAGATCTGGTAAAAATGGTTTTATTTTCCCTGCACTGAGCAGGAAGATATAATCAGTGGAGTAGTTTTTATATGTTTCATATGTTTATATGTTGCTCATCTAAAGTAAAGGAAACCATGGCCAGCATGACTGTATGCCGAAGTACATGAAACAGTTACCTTACCACCAATGATACCTGCTTATCTATTTGCATCTGCATGCTTTCGAACTGCTAGGTGGGCAGGCATTGGAGCAAGTAACAGGAGCTTATCCCTTTGCATGGCGTTTGGGTCTCGAACCCCGGCTGTCAGCTTTCCAGCAGATAAGGTCAGTGTCTGTACTCACTGAGCCATTGCACCCGCTTGTCATCCAGATTATTCCAAATTACCATCTATAATATTCTCTTTAAATATTGCTTGTACTGTAGATAATACAGCACATGTCTATTGGGACCATTAGGAATATGCTTCCTTCACACTTCTATAGCTCCATTGCCTATATAATTTAGCTATTTCTGACCACAGTTCAAAATATTTATCTATAGTAGTTTTTTCCAATTTGATGTTCTCCAGATATTTTGGCTTTAACATCCATAACTCTTGCTGGTGATACGTTTGTAATCTTAACATACCTGGAAAGTGTACTACATACTGGACAATCAAAGGGAATTCAGTCCTCACATTTTAGAAGCTCTGAGGTAAAACAATGGTGAATTAAAAATAGAGTTACTCTCTGAAGTCAGACAATTAGAAGAGAAAGGGTATTCTTCATATATAGCCCTGTTAAGGGGTAAATCTATACAAATGTTAAGCTTTCTGTTGCCAGATGACATTATTTGCAAAATTATTTAATTGAGTTTTTATAATTGACTATATCAACCTCCTACCATTTTATTATATTGTTATTTTTCTGTTTTAATATTATGAATGATTTGGCTCTTCTTCACTGGATTTGTCCAAGTGGAGGCTGGTTATTAATGTGTACTTCACACAATAAACTAAATGACTCTTCCTGGAATTATGCTTATTTTACAAAAATGTATTACCGTAAATAATCATAAGATAATTCTGGGATAAATTCCAATTAATATATTATAAAACAATAAGCAGTTGCTTTTTGTCTTACCCAATTCATCTTCACCAAATCCTAAAATGTGTCCAGCAAAGAAACCCTGACATGAACCACTGTTGCCCATACATAATGGTTTTTCTTGCCACTGTCTTGTAATAGGACTCTGTTGTAGTGTTAAAAAATTCCTAAAAACAGATAAAACAGATAAAAAGAGAAGGGTTACACAATGCTTCCATTAACTTTATTGAGGTCAATGTAGAAACTAAATATTAAATAATATCTGAATTGCAATCCATCTTTCTCCAAATTCTTTGGCATTATACCTTTCAGGTTGGGTTTTCTAGCAGTTGTAATCCCTACACATCTTGAAGGCACCAAATTTGAGAAGGTTGCATTTAAAGTCTGAGCTATAAAGCTTATGATTCAATTTTCATTTTGATAGATACTTAAAAGTGATTTTGAAGTTTCTACTCCAGTTACAACTGATAAGCCTATATAGATTGATATCATACAACCAGAGTTGCCCAAAGACTCGTTTTTAATGTGTGATAATAGAACTAACAGCACAATTGCCTATATGTTTCTTTTAAAGCAAGTCCCATTATGTCAACAGAATTGACAGGACTAACATAAGCATGGATATTCCAAAGGAGATTCCATAGGAGATTTAGAAATTCTCAACTAATCCCGATAAAAGTTAGGCAGGATAGATATGGTTAGTATTTAGTTCAGAGACAACAAGGAAATACCAGGGATGTAGGATAGAAAAACAAAGAATTAATAGAACAGAAACATTGCTGAGAAAATTGTGGGTGTGTCCATGTAATCACCTGAAGAAGAGCTTGATTCAAGAGAATCTCTACCTTTTAAGCATGAATAGGACGACAGTATGATTTGAAGCAATGCTTATAATTTTAACATGGGACCTTTAATGTCATTTAGAACACTATAGATATGTTTGCACAATACATAAAAATATTACTGAGAACTCACTATTTGTTTGCATTAAGGGTATGTCATACTCTAGAGACCTATATTCAATTGTGCAAGTTTATACAGCACAATCAATGCTCGTATATATGCCCTAGTAGAATATAAATGTGAGAGTTGTCATGAACTAGGGAGAATATACCTTCTCCATAAAGGGATCCTAGAAGCTGTCAATTTCTTCATTTTTGGGGATGTGCGTGAAAATTAAAACATTTCTGAATGAGGATGTTGTTTAGCTACCTTTCTCCTTTCTTTCCATATTTCATTCCCTCATGTGGCCAGAAAAAATAAAATAAATTTTGAAAGGAACAGCACTATTTTTTCACTCTAAGTTTGATTTATAGTGATAGCACCAACAAGAAACTAACATTTAATACTGCTGATTGAAGTCAAAGTAAATATCTTGAGCATTAACTAATCTTGAGAACTAACTAAGCCCATAGTTTACTGCGTGATCATATTTTCATGATATCCTTGCCTAGACCACACAATCTAGGTAACATGATTCGAGTTGTGTTAGAGTCCTATCACAATACATTGTTATATGCTCCAAATACTTAGCATCTACTGGTATGGGATCATCTGCATTGTGTAAAAGCTGAACTTTCAAGAAAACAATGCAATTTCATGTAGAGCTCATTATAACGGTTCTGTCTAAATGCAAAGCAATGTTGTATTTTTTCCTAGAGGATTGGCAGTTATTTTTATTGGTGAAAAGTAACACAATAACTCTGCTCCTTGCATTGGAAGAACTCAGACCCGAATTAACCACAAACTCCAAAATTGATCTTCAAGATCAAAGATGAAGATTTACCAATCCATGATTTCCTCAGTTTATTTGAATTAGCACTAATTATAGCTGTTTATCTTATTAATTCCCAACTGCCTTCAGATTCATGTTCAGTTTTTCTACTATCTCCCTGTGACTAATAGATCAAAAAATAAGGTAAAGCTATATGTCATCTATATACCAATAACATTTTAGATCAAATTTAGTTGAGTTTACCTCATGGTTTCAAATAAAGGCTGAACATGGCAGAGAAAATGCAATTCTAAAGCAATGGAATAAAAGTCCTTCAGTGGCCTCATCTTAGTTCAACCTTCCATTAAGGGCTGGAACCATTATAATATTTTAAAATTAGATTTCTAAAATCCATCCTGGCAATACATATTACTAGCAAACTATCATCACCATATAATGCACTTTCATTTTTAAGTTAGAAATAACACATCACTTTTTCTATGAGAATTATAAATAATTTACCCATTGCGGTCTGCAAATATGTAACTTCCATAAAGTCTTTCAGATTGGCAACCTCTGTATATAAATCCACCAACCAGTGGTCCAGAACTGAATGGCTTAAATTCTAAAAGTGAAGGTTCGCTTTCTGGAAAAGAACTACCCTAGTGTTAGATTAAATTAAAGTTGATAAAAGCATGTGCTAAGAATAATTTAAAATACATTATTTCAGAATTAGGTTTATATTGAACAATTCTCTATAAACATTCACAATTAAGTTTCTCAGTATGTAACATGACTTATACCCAAATAATATTCAAGGAACTTCAAATACAGATGCTAAAAATAGCTACCATCTATGCCCATTATTTCTTGGCCTTCACTGTAACATGAACTTCTTTTAAAAAACAAAATAACATCTAACATCTGGACACTATACTGTTGCTATATTAGATTTTCTATCTATTTTTGAAGGGAATATGAATATTAAATGCTTCATGATCCAGCACTTACCATAATCTTTTCCTTTTATTATCTGAAGAATCCTTGCTGATGATCTGTTCTTCTCATTCGAGTCTGAACAAAGTATTGTTAAATTAATATTTACATCTGTTGGATGGCGATCCACTGCACACCTGTTCAAGGACATTGTTTTGTGATGACATGAACTAATTCATTTGTTTGCTACATATGACTTCTATTTCTATATCACCAATTTATTTCTATTTACTGATGTTAAAGTGTACATTCTTAAATGGAGCATTAAATAGCAATCATATGGAAACTGAGAAATTGGATAATTAGAAAATATAAATTCATAGGCAACTCACTCAGAAAAGAGCAAATATGTTTGAGTGCCTGGCTTCCAGGAATAGAAAAAATAAAAGAATTACTAGAACACAAAGAAACTTAAATCCCAGTGAATACCAACCCATTAGAGAACCAGATCAAGGGACATTTCAGTGACTTCACCAAGAAAGGTCAAATCACCAAAGAAGACCAGTGGTGGAGGAAATGTAGTGGAACCAGTCTGCCATGGTTCTATGGATGCTTCAAAACACCCAAGCCAGACATACCTCTCTATCCAACTGTATCATTACCAAGGACCCTAACCTACAACATCTCTAAAGAATTGACAAAAAAGCTTGGACACTTCACAGCAGGAAGTAAATACTCCATCAACTCACCACTATAGTGCCTCCAAAGAATCAAAGATGTGATAACAGATGAAGATGAAACCATGGTCCCATTTGAAGTCACAACACTTTTCGTATCCTTAGACCCAGTATTAGCCAAAGAATCCATGACAGCATACCCAATCTAACCAAATACACCAAGATTGAAATAGCCATAGTCATGGATCTTATCAACCTTTGTCTAACCACATACGTTCAGTTTGATGAACAAATATATCAATAAATCAAAGAAACACCCATGGGATCACCTTTTTCAGGACTCATAGCAGAGACTGGATAGCCATTTGTCTGAAATGGTATAGGGTTTCCTGCCTAGGCAGAGGGTTGGACTAGAAGACCTCCAAGGTCCCTTCCAACTCTGCTATTGTATTGTATTACTGTAATGGAACTCTTGGAATTAATAGCAGTCCCATACACACAACCCAAAGTATGGACCCAGTACATAAATGATACCTTTGTTATAATAACAAGAGAACACATACCAAACTATCAACACCACCTTCAAATGAATAAAATTCACTGGGAAAAAGAAAACAACATACTCCCCTTCCTGGGTATTCTCCTCAGCAGGGGCAGTGATGGCAAATTAGAAACATCAGTGTATCATAAAACCACTCACACTTCACACCTTGGGTTGTTGCTCTGGTGCTCCATTACCAAAGCAACAACAAAATCCCACAAGAGAAACTGTGTAAGAACATTATTTATATAAGCATAAAACTCACTGTAGTAATCCTGAACGTTAGAAAAGGGAAACAGACCATAAAACATATATAATATCTTCCAATAAGATGGATAGCCATGCAACTTAATCAAAAATAATCATTCAACCCAATGCAGCACAACCCATACAAGCTGTGAAAAGGATAACACTGCCATATGTCAAAAACATCTCAAAAACCACCAACAAACTATTACATCCACATGGTGGCATCATAGCACACAAACCAACCATTGGTGGGTTCCAGATCCTGGTGCAACTGGTACAGTGCAACGGGACCAGGCGTCCACCACATGAACACATGCAGCGTGCGCATGCGTACTTATTGCCTGCAATATTCCGCGATGCCTTCACAACGCTCCAGCTGCTCGGTGGAGCATCACGCAGGTGCTGTATGCTTTGTTCAAATACCGGTAAGGAGCACGGGCGGGTGATAGGCCCTCTGGAGCATCATACTGGAAAGGTACCTGGTGCTCCTGGCAGGCACTGGTACACCCGTACCGGGGCGTACCGGTCATAATTCACCACTGAAACTAACTAAAAATCTCCAAAACATCCAAAATAAACCAAAAGAACCCAGCAGCCCCAAAAGGAAAATCAAAAGTCACCTACAACATACAGTGTAAGGCAACAACAACTATGTAGGACAAACAGACAGAAGTCTAGCAGAGTGCATCCATGAGCACTAATTAACAGTCAGAAGATATTTCACAATACAGACTTAACCATATTTTCAACTGGGAAACTGTGAAGCCTACTAGACTAGGCCCAGTCCAAAAACAGTAGATAATTGCTGGAAACCAGGCACTCAGTCAAATCAGACATTAACAGGCACAAAGAATATCTACATGCCATTCAAAAGAGACAATCAAAAAGCCGAAAGGAAACAAAAAGATCAAAACATCTCCTTACCAGCAATCAACACCCACATGAGCAGAGAATTAACACCAAGATTATTAACATTCGAACAATAAAAAAGCAAATAATATCCCAATCAAGGAACTGCCAAACAACTACAGTAAATAATAATCCAATAAAAGAATCACCAAGACCACTTCCACCAACAGAAACAGGTAAGCCACTAAAATATAAAATGAGAGCAAACTCCATTCCCTATGAGAACTGATGGTGTCACCTAGTTTGCTAGTGAAACACCTGCAAGGAAACAACCAAATTCAGAAAGCAGCAAGGACACCACAAACTGACTGTTCTAATTTTACACATTTATAACTTCTTTTTCTCATTAGTAAAAGAAGATTCCAAATACTTTGATGAAGAAAGAGCTACTTTAGGCTATATTTATTTAGCTTCTTTATTCCCTGTATTATTTTCCACATTGCTTTGATTAAGTTTTAGAAACTATGTTAGTATCCTTTTCCATTCTTCAAAGAAAAAGTAATTTACCTACCTGCCTGGATTATGGAGTCCATGGGCAAAAATTTCAGGAGGCTGATTAGTGCTGTTAAAATGTGGGTTAGACTGTGGTACGGAATAAGGCACATGGCAGAAATCAGTGTCTACATCCAACCGCAGTACCGAACCTGTAAAATCACTGAAAAAGTTGGAGACAAGATAATTTATTTTTAAAAGGCAAAAGCATTTTAACTTCTACTTTATGTTCTGAACAGTAGTCACTTGTTAGAGAATCTTTTAGAAGAGACATGACAGGGGTGGGGGATTTTTTTAGGGATGGTGTGGTGTGTGTGTGGATTGTTATGTGTGTTGGGCCTGGTCTCTGGGTGTTATGTGAATTTCGTTGTATGGGTATACTGTGTATATATGTACAATGACAATAAAATATAACTAACTATAAAACTAACTACAAGGGGTGGGGCATGGGAAGTCAAAGTGATGCAAACAGCATTGTGCCATTTTCCATGGACACTGACATATTACATGTAGGCCAATATTGGTGAGGCTTGCTTTTTTTCAGAGTAACAAAAGCCAGTGATGTTGTTAAGAATGGAATATTCAAAGATTTAGAATCAAAATAATATGCCATATTTTTAATTTTTTATTACATTTCAGTTCTGCTAGTCATTCAAATAGTTCAATCCACTGTATCTTTCTGCGCTTTGTGTCAAATTTGACTGATGTCACACATATTTAAAATACTATCTATATGGATATTATGGTAAAGGTTCCCCTCGCACATATGTGCTAGTTGTTCCTGACTCTGAGCATCGGTGCTCATCTCCGTTTCAAAGCCGAAGAGCCAGCACTGTCCGAAAACGTCTCCGTGGTCATGTGGTCAGCATGACTAAACACCAAAGGTGGATGGAACGCTGCTACCTTCCCACCAAAGGTGGTCCCTATTTTTCTACTTGCATTTTTTACGTGCTTTCAAGCTGCTAGGTTGGCAGAAGCTGGACAAGTAACAGGAGCTCACTCTGTTACACAGCACTAGGGATTCG